AAAAAATCAATGTAAAAATGACTAATTACTCATACGTCACATATACCCAATTTAAATCGTAGTATGTATTTATATATCGATTTGTTAAGAATTATTTAGATGAGGTTAAGTTAGTCTTCAACAAACTTTAAGCAAACTGCCAAAGTGTCTGTTGCATTCCTTTACGGCTCATTTTTTATGGCATTGTTTTTCCTGAGGAATAAATTTTCGATTCAAAGGCTAACTGCATCACTTTTAACAATTTGTTTTCTTTAAAAAATGTTTAGACTTTCCAAATCTGTTTTTGATATTTATTCGGGATACTCAATAAAACATATTCCAACAGTTGTTGGCATGTTTCTTGCCAAGATTCCCTATCTTCCCTATCTATCAGAGAAATAGGAAGAAATATTAAATGTGCATTTCTTCCAGCTTCGTCTTGACAAATGTCACGCAGATGGTCAATTAAAAATAAAATAATATTGTTAAAAAAACAAGTAAACAATAAATTTGTGTATTAGAAGATATTTGTAGAGTACAACCATTCATATTTTTTTAATTTTTGTAGTCAAATTTCTTAATTTCTTTTTTTTTTTAACTGTAAAACTTATACATATAATACACGATTATTTAAAACTTTTATTCTACCTATATACCATCTTTATAATTTTCTCAATTATAGAAAAATTAAATGCCTCCTTTAATTTTTTACTATACCATATTGTGGTCTGCAATAAAAAAGCTGCTCTACATAAATTCACTTTAATTCTGGTTCATTTTCGGGTACATAAGTTTTGGCTTTAATTACTGTTTATTTTGCTGGGCCTGAAACTGTTACTGGATTATTTGTAAATTTATGTGAAAGCGTATGTGTCTATGAGATACTTGTACAAGTGATTGGATGTCTGAATCACTGCTTTTGTGCGTGATACTAATAATTGCTTTATAATTATAACAAAATTAATGCAAATACAGTAAACAATGAAACGTGCAAGTTCGTCCTTATGAATCCTTTTAGGCTGCATCAGCATTTCAGGATGTCGAGTGGCTTCACTTTTACATGTGCTGTGTTGGCAAACAAATAAATTTAACTCGTTAATTATACACGTTTGTTTATATTAATTTTAACATTAATTTCATTTTAATTAATTTACATTTAATTAATTGTATTAAAATCCTTTTAAGCCTTTTCATATTACATTTCATTACATTATGGTATATTTAATTAAAATTCTTATTTAGTTTTTTTTTGGATATTATTTTGTTCTACAAATTTTGTTGTATGGAAATAATTTTTGTAACAAAAATCGAAAATAATTAGTTACAAATGAATTATCCTTATTTAAAATTGTGTGTAAAAGGAAAATATGTTTTTGGGTAACACTGTTGTCAAACAGTTTGCATAAAAGGCAACATTTATTTAGTTTAAGATTTATTATTTTAATACATCAATCGTTTAACAACCGCAGAACATGTTAAAATTGTAAAAATAAAATATAAGCATTGTACAATATTTATATTATTTGATGTGAAAAATCAAATTTTCTTCAGTAATTAGAGTCATTTTGCATTTAGTGGATGTGTCAACACACAAGATTATCGCATCACAAAGAGTGAAAATTCATGAGTAACTATTGAAACGCCACTTGTACTTATTAAAAGTCATTATATGATAGTGTGGCTTTTGATCTGGAGTTGTAAAAACGTCAACTTTTTTACAAAGAATAAAAGTAGTAATTCTGAACGCATTAGCCACAACCCAAACCATTTTAGAGTGAAAATATAAAATAGGTATGGAATATATAGATTTATTGTTTCAGTAGGAGTGGGGCTAAAGCCACACAACAAACACTGTTTAGACTTTGTTGCACAAAAAATATTCTAGACTTTTAAGTTACAGGGATGTGAATAAGTTGCCAAAATTATGGGGTTTATGACTACTTGATTTTTTTGAGGGGTTACACAAAATAACGTGTTAATACGGACAATCTGTAGTCTCTCGACGCTCTAATAGCGAGCATCCGTTAAATAACGCCATTGTTTACAACAAGTCTACAAACAAATATAATGATCTAAAGTTTGAATCTTACAAGCTAAACAAAGATCAAAACTATATATTAAAGAGAAAACCTTGATTGAACTTTTAAACACATATGTGTTTTATTTACCATCTATTTTGGAACAATAAAAAGGATAACGCTAAAATACCATGTTTTTAATAATAATAATAGGTGTAAAAACTGGCAGGAATGAAATTATAAAGTTAAAAATTATTTGGAGAATATATTTGAGTTTCGTGATCTGCAATATAGTATAGTATTTGGCGGGCTTGAATATAAGCCGCTTGTAAAACTACGTCCATTGATGAACTACTATATTCTTGATCTGCAAAATAATTCTCTACGAAGTCAATATGTCCGATTTAATGAAAATTCACATTTTTCGTACCTATGTTATTATTTTTCCGGTATTGATTATAAATGAAAATATTGTAATACAAAAAAGAATTCAAGGAAAATATATGAATCTATTATATATAATGTATTAAGCAGTAAATTATTGAATAATTGGATTTACATGTGCTAAATATTTTTGTAATCGATTTCATTAAAAGTAATTTAAAATTAATATAAATTTAAAGGATTTCATATCCGCTAACTATTTATTTAATGAATTTAAATAATTAATATAAAATGAACGTCAGTTAAAAGTACTTAAAATATTTGATATTGAAACATATTTATTTATTTTTAATTATACTTCAATGACTATTCAATTCATATGCCTAACAAGCCAACTGCAGTTCCAAAACTATTACGACAATTAAATATTATTGAATTAGTTATTAAAACATTGTACTAAATACAATAATACTATAATACTAAAATATAAAAGTTTTCTAAAAAGGAAATAATTTGTTTTGTTAGTTATCGCATGGCATGCAAAAAAGTTGTTAACTATCAATCTTAACAACTCAATTATGATGAAATATTAATGCCAGGAATAACAGGCACAAGCGAACATTCAGTTTACTGCAGTGTGAAAATGATTCATTTATCATTTATAGAGCTGATAAGGATATAATAGCAAAACTAAATCGAGGTCAATTTGCAATTGCTTATACACTTTTCTATATAAAACTAAAAATATTTTGTATATTCTACATATAATATATATTATTAATATATAATTATAATGTCAATTCTGTTTGGCTTGATTAAAAACAAATAAAAAATCATATCATTAATGTTAGAATTAACACATTTTGCAAGACTCTCATTTTCGTCATTTCGAAATCAATTTTCCTAATAGATACGAGTCTTCCTCGAACTTCTTATTGGCGAAGTCAGCATTCAACTAGCTTCAGAAATACGTTTCAATACTCTTTTATTTACATTTATATGTAAAAAAACATTAACAGAACGAATTTTGGATAATAATGAATACAAAAATATTGGGTTTTTATTTTATTACCAAAACTCTCTTAAATGAATAAATTTTATTATCCTGCTGTATTCTCATTTCTGTTAAACAAAATTTATGCTAAATTTTTCTATGTTAATGTACTGTTAAGTTAAAGTCCTTAAAAAAGTTTTTCTTATGCTATTAACATAAAACATCGAATGAGTGTATCCTATGCACCAAAAATGTAAAAAGTAGTTCACAACAAATGCAATACAAATATTTTTTTAAAAAAGTAAGAAATAATATATATTTATGTGTTATAAACTGGGAGGATAGCGTTAAATATCTCGGCATCACGTTGAACAAACGATTCACATGGCTTACACATGTTCAACTGAAAAGAATTAGCTGTGCCAAAATTCTTCATTACCTTCAACCGCTATTCAGAAATGAATATCTCAATGCTAAGAACAGGAAACTGATATATAACCAAATAGTTCGTCCATCACTTCTATATGGTTGTGTAGCGTTTAGCAAAGCTTCAAATACTACTATTCACCAGCAAGAAATTACACAAAGCTAGAGTCTGAGAAGACTGTTCAAAGTTCCATGGTACATTAGGACGAATGACATCCTCAGGGACATCACGATTGATCCCATCAAAAAATGCATAATGGATAGAGTCCT